AATTATATAATTACTGAAAATAACAGATAAAATATAAAGTTTTTCTTAAAAAATGATTGTTAACTATCTGGACATTATAAAGATTTTGCATGTGAAATTTCAAAATTTTCTGATGCATAAAAGCATTTTTAATCTTAAAATGAAAAGTACTTTGTATGATATATAGACAAGATGTAAAAAGAAAAAAAAAAGGCATTAATTTACAAACCTTAAGACTTAATCAAAAATTAGATAGTTTGCATATGAAAGCATTGTAATGTTTACTAATAAACTGCCAAATTTCATTAACATTTGCTTACTAATTTAAAAGTTACAGCATGAAAACTATAACAAGCACAAAATGGTTATGAGGTCTTCCAAGAGACTGAGCCGAGGTTGAAAGAGCTAATTAAAAAAAAAACTGATATTTTGTGTACGAAAGCTTTGTAATGGTTACTGATAATCTGTGAAATTTCATGAAGATATGCATACATTATCAAAAGTTATAATATGACTACTTTCGTGGTTACTTTGGTGGTTATGCACCTAGACCCATAGTCAAAGAGATAAAGTGCAAGGGGACAAGTCCCCAGAAGAGGAGGAAAGCCATGGAGAAAACAGTTGATAGCAGTGTCCATGAAAGGGTACAGCCTAAGTGGGATAGCAAGTGGGGCAACCCTAACTGAACATAAAATATTAGAAATAAAATGATTATATAATAAGGAAACAGAAGTAAGTAAGATGGAGAAAAAATCCTTGATCATCCTCTCAGGAAGACCAACTCTTCCAAAAAAGCAAGAAAAAGAGCCATGATCATGAAGAAAAAGAGGGCAAGGAAGATACTGATAAATGTGAAGTTGAAACAGAGGGAGGGCCCATGAAGTAAAGCAAACCAATTCATTAGGGTATACAGGCAAAGGAGATCAGAAGTCATTTACCTGAGTTATGAGCATAGTAAACAGAAAAGGAGGTATCTGCTCCTCATTAGGGAGAAAAGAGTCAAAAGCAAAAGCTGGAGGTGGAAGAGCTGGTCAAAATCATCCACAGGCAAGGCAGGCTCCACAGAAGGCAATGAAACAGAATGATAAGAGACATGAACTGAAGAAGAAGGCAGAAGGGGTATCAACCACATGATGCACGATAGTGATAACATGTTGAAAAACAACAGTGGTGAACATGTTGTTACACTATGTATCATCATAGTTCTTCAAGATTGCAGTAATGTAATATCTCAAAAATATTTCTAATACCCCATCATGGATTGCAACATGAGAACTTTCACATGCCAGACATACCTCTACTAAGAGAGCTAAAGGGATAACTACTGAAATGCAGCTCTTTGAACAGTTAAAGTGCCCCTGCCATTGACTTAATTGGAGAAAATGCTTGAAGTGGAATGTCCAGTCCAGAGATTGTTTTTTTTTTGTTTCAGGCATTCATCATTGTCAGAAGCACAAAGAAAAAACGTGGTGGCCAGAGAAAAGAAGTTGCAATCAGGTGGATGGAATGAATGTGAACTGCGAACAAAAGTAATGCAGCACTAAATAAAGAAAGGCAGTCGATGAAAGTGACTAGAAACTCAAAAAGCACAGGAAAAAAACATGTCTGAACACAGGAAGTGGTGAGGAAACAATGAACTTATGATAATGTGTTAATGCTCATGAGGATTACTGTGCATAGAGATTGTTATCCTTCTATTGGAGGAGGGTTTCAATATTATGATAATTACTTCTTTGGATGGTGTAATACACATAAACATGTGTAGGGTTGACATGCAAGGGTATTCCACAACAAATGCTGCTGAAACATACAAAAGGGTTATAGACATACGGCTGCACAGGACAATTCAAATACTTCACTTAGACATTGGTAGGAAGATAAACAGCAGAATAGGTAAGGATAAGAAGTTTGGTTTGCTCATCTTTCCCATTCTTATGAAAAGAAATAGGTGCAACACCCTGACCTGTCACCTCAGAATGAATTTCATTCTCCGGAATGCTAAAAATACCAGCCACAGCAATCACTCCCCTAGAGAAATTCACAGTGTTATTAGGGGTGATCTCAATGGGAATTTCCCTGGAGCAGTATATGACAAAAATAACTTCCCATCATTTGGTCTAGATGTTTCAACTAGAAGTTTTCATGATTGATAATGGCTGGAGACGGCTTAAAT